ATATATATATATATATATATATATATATATATATCATTTTTTAATTATTAAATTTCTTTATTTTTTAAAAATAATTTTAATCTTTTTATTTTTAAATTTTTAATTTTATATTTTCAATTTTCAATTTAACATTTTTTTTCTTATTTTTCACATATTTTTCTCATTCTTTCTTTCAATTTTTACATGCACTCTCTTGTCTTTTTTCTACTCCACATATTTCAGTAGATAATTTAAATTTTTTAATTATTACTTTTTTACTTTTCTCTTTTAGTTTTCACATGTACTTAAAATATAGAACTAATTTTTGACAATGTTATAGGTGCATGTAACTTCTTCAATATCGTCGAAGATGTCAAGTTAAATGTGCATTTTTTTTTCGAGCACTTTCTTCATTTACATATCTAGAAAATACAAAATTAAATGTAGTGTTTCAAATAATTTTAATATTCTAGAAAGTACTTTTCGAAATAGTGGGTGTTTCAAAAAGTATTTTCTAAAATTATGTTTTTAACATATTTTCATAAAGTACTTTTCAAAATACTAAATTTATTGTCCTAGATAGAATTTTCCTAAATCATGTAAAATAATACACTTTTGAAAAGTACTTTTCGAAACACAATTGTATAGTTTAAAAATTATAATAGTTGCATAATATAAAAAATGTGTAGGATCTCTTGATAAAAGCTTTGACATACTCTATCAATTTTATGCTTGTTGGTAAACATTTTGAAATTTGTCCCAAAAAGTATTTTGAAATTTATAAAAATTACATATTTGCACACATTACAATTATCACAAGCAAGCTTGCAAACATATTAAAAAAATGTGAAAATACATGTTATATCTAAATTCAATATCTATAGAAATTCCACAAACCTAGAATCATGTTGTAGGTCACCCAAACCAAAATTGTGACACCATATAAGCTAACATTGATAGTGATATGAGCTGACGAATCTGTTTTGCAAGTGCAAATAGTGTTGTACTGAATGATACAATAGATGTTACAATTTTTCATAGAAAGAGGAGGAGGATCAATCTTCCTCAAGACTAAGACTGATGAAGTCTGGTTTTGGGAAATTTCGTATTGGTCATAATATCTCACTCAAGAAATGATGCATTTGTTGCTCAGAGTCACGTGTTTTGATCCTCATTTCCTTAAGATGGATTGACATTGATTAAAGGTAGGTTTGTCCAATTACATGATAATTCCAAGATTTAAAGTTTGTAAAAATGTGTTAAAAGTATTCCTCCATTTAGTGATAAGAAACTCTTAATGTTATATCATGTTAAAGCATGGTGATGGTTTGTCTTTGACCCTTCCCTTAAACGTGTCAAAGCTCATATGTTAAGTGAATCAACCCCTAAACTACAGCTCATGCCATTTCAAATAGAAGAGAAGCAGAGAAAAATGGTGTTAGTAGTTGTGTTGATGTAGTGCTGTAAAACTACATTAAAAATCTTATAAGCATTGACAATTTCATCTTTGGCAAATAGAATATTTTTCCACATGTACAGCGAACCCATGAATGTGATTCAATAATGTATTTAACCATCTCTTTTTTTTCCAAAGCATTTATTTTAAAAGTATATACAATTGTCTTATTTATGTCAAAGAAAGTTGGAAATAGAAATTTCATACAGTGACTTTCCTAAGTCACAAACTAGTTGATTGATTTGAGTTGAAATAGAGTAAGTAACACCCGCGCTTTCATTATACCACTACACTTCTTGTTATATTGAGATATTTCCACACTACAATGTGCAATAAACATGAAGACAATTGAACCTTATTTGCATAAAAACATTCCAAATATAAATTAAATCATAATTATCATCGTTGACATTATAGGTGAAATTTAGTAGCCATTAACAATTGTTTAGGCTACTTTCATGAATATTAGCAATGCAAGATATTACTCTTACTGAAAGGTTCTTTTTCAAACATGTGGCATGTGTAGCACAAAAATAAAGTCAACAATGAAGTAACATTATAAATATCTCTTGGAAATCTTTGTGGGATCTATGACAAGTTCACCTCATACAAATACTCAAGATGACGGTGCAATGTAAGCAGTGGGGAATTGAAAGCTTATATGGATAAGATAAATGGCATCGCATATTGTTCTCAATGTAATAGTAAAACTTGCTAGCTTGTTTTCTATGGTGAGGCAAAATGATTTATGGTTTAAATAAGGAAAATAAAATTAAAAAAAAATCACAAGCTACAAAAATAAAATGCATAAAAAATGCTTAGTTTAACAACTTAGATTGTTAATCAAAGTGGAATATAACATAGTAAGTTTCATATCATATCAAAAAAGTCTAACTCAATTGGTTAAACAAGGTGTATAAATATTGTAAACTCCCTATAATAACAAGTTTGATTTCCTTGAATCAACAAAAATAATCATATGTGAATTCTAAAGAATTTAATTACAAATTATTAAGTCTTGCTTTGAATTGTCAACTAATAAAGAAAAAAAGTTTGATCAGTTAAAGTACATACAAGTCAACGATGAAGTAACATTGTAAATATCTCTTGGCAATATTTGTAGGATCTATGACAAGTTCACATTTTCCAAATACCCAAACAAGAGAATGGACATAAGTTTATATACATGCAATTAATTATCTTCATTAGTTAAAGGCTTTTTAGGTGATGTCCAAAAAGCAAAAACATGAGGACTTAGGCTCAAAGCGAGCAATATCTTACCAATATGAAGATATATATGTGTGTGAAAACTCCCGATTTACAACAAGTGGTATCAAAGTCATTGCTTTAATTAGATGACTAACTCTGCGAGTATGATGGAGTTGGAGTTGGCAGGTGGATCCATATGTGAAAGAGAGTCCTCTTAATAATGTGACACCCTCTACCTCTCATGCATAAGACTATAAAATAATTTTTTTTGAAAAAAAATAATATTGTGTTGAATAATTCCAAATAAAGGTAAAAGGTATCATATTTTCAAATTCAAACATTCAAACAAATGGAAAGGAAAGCCTAAACTATTACAAAAATTACAAAACAAGTTTGAAGAACTAAACTAAAATTCCTAGTGCAGAAAACATAGAGACATATTCCTAATAACCTTGATGTCACATGTATTAAAACTTTCCCTTCCATCAACTAAACTCTTCCAAAAAGGAACTCTCCTGCAAACACATATAGAAAACAAACACACGAAAATAAAAGGAGTGAGAACTGAGAACATATCTCATTTTGGCTACTACTGTAGAATATAAAGGATAAATAATGTTCATAACACATACATGTGGAATAAAACAAGATCAATTTTGCATAGAAATTATATTATACAAAGATAAAGTTTTAGAAATGTACCTATTGATGAGGTTTTAAACCAAAAATAAATAAATAAAATTTCAATAATGTGAAAACTCTATGTGTATTCACACTTAGACTAAACTTTGCTGTTAACAATCTTGATTAGTGGAAGCAAAAGAATTTGATTCTCGAGATAGAGAAATATAAGATAAAATGCTTTTAAACTTTTTTCTGAGAGCTTTTTTTTTGTTTTTTCCCATAAAATCCATGCCTTTCTTATAGAAAGTGGGTAAAACCAACTTCTCTCAAAATAAAAACAAAATCATTACCAATTAGTAGGTGGTTTTTATTTTGATATGCATGTAGCTATTTTTTTTAGATGTTTTGAAGACCAATTTCAACAAAATCTTCTCAAATCTTCAACCAAATTTTCAATTTAAACAATTTAAATAAAAACATTTAATCTTCCAATTCTTTCCCTTTTCAAATGTGGATCATTCCATTATATCTTCAAGCATTTCAAATAATTTTATTTATATCATTTATATTTTCGATGCTAGCAAAACAAATATAATAATATTCCACAAGTAAAATTATTTATTTATTTGTATGATATAATTAAATTCTCTAATTTAATAATCAAATACTAAAATAATTTATAACAAAGATTAGAATACTCATTTGTGCGTGATCCCATAGGTTCAATACTAAACTAGTAATATATTAATAAAATTAATATATTAATCAAGGTAGGCATCTAACAATACTCCTTAACACCTAGATAGCATGAAGTAATATTTAACTTTTAAGAACAAATAAAAAAATAATAAAATATTTTTCTTCCATCATATATAGCTTTGAGTTAACTCTACAGAATGGTATTTCTATCAAACTATACTAAGTTAACATACCATAAATGACTTAAGAAACTCATTTCTTTTTTCATTAATATTCCTGGCCAGGATATAATTTTGTTTTAGAGCTAAAACTTATTACCTAGAGTTGATAGATTCATTCTTGATTAACCATTAATTCTACAAGTATTTAATCATTTCCAATTTCTATTCAACTAGTACCCCAAGACATTAGGTGTCTAGAATTAAAATATAATAAACAACTTATTAGTTACTATGATAATCTCAGGTTAAAGAAACCTATTTAATTTCTTCTTAAGAATTTTCTATTCACAATCTAAGGTAATATAAACCATTAGAAATTCTCAATTGAGTTAGTTCAAATGATCATACTCACATATGCATCATCTATATATGCAATTACTAAAAGAGATATATTAATCTTTATCCAATAAAGACATTTACACATATATTGGTCTATCTAGATTATTGTTAACCTATTTACAACAACCTTATCACTAAGAACAATTTAGATTAAAATAATAAAAGACTCTTGTTTTCTCATTGTCA